AGCGCACGTGCATGCACGTGTTTTCATGATAATTTCTATGTATCATGTTGTAGGATATCCTAATGCATGGCTATGTTCAAAATTTCAAAGGATCTCCTCAAAAAACAAGAAAGATATTGAGACTTTAGTTTCAGCCAATCAGAGCAAAGCGCACGTGCATGCGCGTGAGATCTTGCTATTTTGACCATTTCATATTGTCTATATTACTAATATATCCTTACATTATGAGTTTCAAAGCATTTCATCAAAAATTTAAAAAGTTACGCCTATATCAATTAAATCGGTCATTTTACATGTTGCACGTGCGCGCTCTTGCAAGCACGTGCGCGCAAAATGACCTTTGTTCGGCAAATCTACATAACATGTCTATTGACCCTAAAAACATTTTACCTTAGTCGGATGTGTAGTTTACAAGATCACTCAAGGACAAAATTTTCCCAGGAATAATAATAATAATAATAATAATAATAATAAGAAACAGAGTAAAAACAATATGTTCCCCAACTTCGTTTGGGGAACATAATAAGAAACAGAGTAAAAACAATATGTTCCCCAACTTCGTTTGGGGAACATAATAAGAAACAGAGTAAAAACAATATGTTCCCCAACTTCGTTTGGGGAACATAATAAAAGGTTAATATGCGTCGTAACAGAGTAGATGGTTGATACTGATTACATTAAAAGATAAGTATCATTCAGAGTAAGACGCTTGCCATCCACGTCAAAAGTGAGTAGTATCTCAAACGGCCTACCTTGTTTTTGTTTATCAATCTAGAAGTAGCGACGGCGTCACGTGATGGATTTATTTAACAAGAGGCCCACGGGCCTTATAGGTCAACTGAGTAACATGTAACAACTTTCCAACAACTGTATTTGGTATGACTATATATTTTAAACCAAAAGCCTTGAAATTCACAATTTTGAAAGAGGCATCATTGTTTATCATAACTATACACTTAGCATGCTTATTTTGGTTACTTGTTACCCAAAGGCAGATCAGATTAACAGAGAGAAAATGCATTTCCACTTTATAACCACCAGTTGTGCACACCAACCCAGAGGAACCACTGACCCTGGGGCCACATATTTCAAAATTTGGGAAATTTTGTAAATTTCACTTCATCAGAAATGGGTGATTAATATCAAAGAGCAGATTTCAAAGTATTACTTTATTTTCGGACTATGTAACCCCCCCCCCCCCCCCCGCGTCTGCAGTACCCCTAACGCAGGGGTCCTGAAATTAACCATTTTGGAAGAGGCATATTTCTCCATCATAAATATATGCTTAGATCATTGGCATTATACCAAGGAGCAAAGGAAAAGATTTCCAAAGAATTCATGCGTTTTCACAATATAATCATTATAGGGCCCCACCCTAACACCAGAAACCCTGACCTAGGGGTCATGAAATTCACAAATTGGGAAGAAGCATCCTTCCTCATCATAACTATGTACATAGTTCATTGGTTTTATACCCAGGAGCATAGAAGCAGATTTTCAAAGAATTTATGCATTTTCACTATATAATCAACAGAGCCCCGCCCTAACACCAGAACCCCTGACCCTGGGGCTATGAAATTCATAATTTTTGAAGAGCAGGACTTATTTAATATAACCATGTACTTGGTTAGTCTATTTCATACCCAGAAGAAGAGAAGAAGATTTTTTAAAGAATTAATGTATTTTCACTATATAAACAATTAAAGAGCCCCGCCCTAACACCAGAACCCCTCACCCAGGGGCCATGAAATTCACAAATTGGGAAGAAGCATCCTTTGTTATCATAACTATGTACATAGTTCTTTGGTTAGATATCCAAGTGAGAGGAGAAGATTTTTAAAGAATTTATGCATTTTCACTATATAATCAATAGAGCCCCGTCCTAACACCAGAACCCCTGACCCTGGGGCCATGAAATTCACAATTTTGAAAGAGGCAATCTTATTCAACCTAACTATGTACTTGGTTAGCTTTTTTAATGCCCAGGAGCAGAGAAGATTTTCAAAGTAGCAATGCATATCACTATACAGTCTATTTAGCCCCGCCCTAGCACTAGCACCCCTGAACCTGGGGCCATGAATTTCACAATTTTGGTAGAGGACTCAATGCTGATTACAATTATGCCAACAGTTTGACTGCTTGATGTCTAGGGGCATAGAAGAAGATTTTTAAAGATTGCACTAATTTCAGTGGTTTTGGCCCCACCCCTCAGGCCCAAGGAGGGCAGGGACCATGAAATTCACAATTAATGTTCCCCTTCACCCACAGATGCTGTGTGCCAAAATTGGTTGAAATTGGTTGAGCGGTTTCAGAGAAGAAGCTGAAAATGTTCAAATGTTAACGCACGGCGGACGACGCACGACGACGGACAACAACGGATAGCAATAGGTCGCCTGAGTTTACTCTTAGTTTAATTTTAGTGGTGTAATTTACAGTATTTTCGTAACTTTTATGGATGAACAAAATATATAAATTTCCAATCTTATTTAAACTGGCGCAAGTTATAGCGTGTATACTTTTAAAGAAGTTCTTGTCATTATATAACTCCTTACTAGAAATAAATAAATCTCATTTAACTCGGCTTAAAAAAAAGATATACATTACCTACTAGAGTTTGCACTGGATTAAGAATATCTGTTTCTATTGAAACATGAAGGAATAAAATTATTATAAGGATACTAAATTGTTGAAAAGCAAAGAGTGGGTCTTCCAACTTACTCATGACAAATTACTGAAATGAGGCAAGCCATTGACAAACAAGTCGAGGAAACAAGAATATCAACAGTCTCGTTTAATGTGATAATTTTGCATACTCAGTATTTTAAAATCACTACAATAACCTTTTTCAGCAAGAACAGTCTATTGTTGAATCTAGCAACAAATATTGACTGATGTTTTTCACACAAATTGTTAGTAAAACACTGAATTGTCTACGCGTTTTCCCCCCGATCATGACAAGGAGCACACGGCGGATATGACAGGCCGACAGGAAATGCTCATTCCTCCATGGCACCTGATTCCATCTCTGATGTTTTAGAGGTCGGTATTTGCTGTAGTCCTGATTGGTACTGCTTGTGTGGACTTTTGTGCTTGAACACTGTTCGTTATCTCCATATACATGTACCGTATATCTGGGTTTTTTCGCAATGATCTATTTTTCGCATTTTTTGCGACCATTTTTAATTCGCAAAATATAAAACACGCAGAAATTACGTCAGCTTTAATTTGACATAAAACATTACCATTTTAATAAAAAAAAAAATGTTCATTCGTAAAAAATAACACGCAAAATAAAAACTGTACTAATCTACCCCTTTTTCGCAAAATTTCCAACACCCCAAAAAAAAAACAAACCCGAATATACGGTATCATTTTAAACAGTTGAAAATTGCTAAGTTTAAGTCACTTCAGTTGTGGAATGGACATGATGAATAAAAAAAAACACACGGCGTTATGCATTACTCAGTGAGATGTTCTAACTTTAATTCCCTGAAAAATCCTGTTTTTTATGAGTCCTTTATCATGCTTATAGAAAAGGCATGTACAAAAGGAAAGAAAAGAAATGAAATAGTTTAAGAACTATTTAAAAATTTAGCTCAGTCAAAAATGCGACCTGTCTATTTTGCTAAAAGTGAAAAATTATCTAAAAGTGATGTTATGAATCATTCCTGAAAATCGGCTCAGCAGTTTTCGAGAAATAGCTTGCAAAGGAAAAAATAATAAGAAACGGCACGACCCTAATCTAAAATAGGTTCATTTTTTTAAAGCTTTTTTTTCCAGACCAGTCGGATGTAAATCTGCAGCTAGACCCAGGTGACTTCCTTTTTATGTAGAATAGAGCTTTGTGTACATATATGGATACAGAGGCTTTGGAATGACCTGTGAGGTTTGAACAATTTCAGAAATGAGGCAAGCTACTGAAAAAAAAGTTGATGAAACAAGATATCAAGTTGTTTTTAGTCAACATTTCGCATATTCTTCAGTCAACAAAAATGGCCTTGTCAGCAAATACAATTTATCATTTTAAGTCTAATGAGACTGACTTTTTTTCATTCAAATTGATTATCAAATCATTAGGCCATTATATTCACACTGAATTGTCTACGAATTTTTATCGCATGCCCAATCCATTCATGACAAGTAGCACATGGCATGACTGGTTGACATGGGGATGCTTATTAATTCTTCCCACCAAATCCCTTGCTGATGTATTATATTTTATAACCCTTTGTTTCATCTTCTCCTGATTTGTATCAATAATTGAAATGGTCTTTAGAGCTTGACTTGATTTTCATATTTAATTCACACAATTCTATTCTGCTGTTATTCCTATCTCACATTCTGTTATTAAACCTGTCATACGCCTTAAAATCTTGCTAAAGCCAAGGATAACGTTTAATACACTGTATAGGCAAAGGTCCTCCTCGCGTCAATGTTACCAGAGTTTTTGAAAGAGCAATCGAGGTTTGAACCAGGATTTGATTGCTGCTTCTCAATGAGAGAAGCTGGCTCGTAAAAAATCCATCTAGGTTTGTCAGGGGTCCGGGGAGCCAGAAGCGGATTCGGGTCCTATGGCTAAAGCACTCGATGTTTCAACATTGTCATGAGTTTATATAGGCACCTTAATTTCAGTTACCATAAACACACATAATTTGTAGGCACCGTGATTAAAACACATACAAAACAGGTAGGCCCTTTAACAAATAAACAATTTATCAACACTGTAAGATTATATGCAATTCAAATATTATATCATGTATATTGCAATGGATGGAGATCACCATATAAAACCCGAAAAACACATGAACACAACATACATATAACAACATTGTACTTTGTATATAGACACTACACAATCAATCTAAAATCCCCCCTTACAGAAACGTTAAAGACCAAAAAAGCAGAAAGACACAATAAGGACACCATACAGCGAATAGTACACTGTTCAATATGCACGTCTTTTAGGGCCTACTCTTTAACAAAATGGCTTCTGGTTCTACTCGGGATCTAGAGCAGATTGTGAGAGACGGATTGAGCACGCTCGTGTTTGCTTTTGGTTACAAGGTTGGGATGATTGACGCCTTCATTGAAATCGAACAGCCATGTACAGCAGAGGAACTTAGTCAGTAATCAGGCCAAAAGTTAAGGTAGGCCATGCTTCACTGATTTAAAAAAATAAAGTTGGAATATTTCACTTTTACGCTTATGTATAGACCCTATAGATATCTCACTAACTAGTCTATTAACAACATACTACAAAAACTGTCACTCGTTACAATTCATTAACAGTGGTTAATTAACCTATTGAAATTTTAAGACTGTTTTTTAAGAACGAAAAAGGTAAAGAGGAAGAGCGGTAGGAATTCTTATATAGGGCATAAAACGCGGACTTTTAGGAATTCCAAGAGTGTGATCAGGTACCTTGGGGGAATAAGTTTCCACCCATCGTGAGACCTTTGTTAAGCAGGAAGACGCAACATTTCAACTTTTCAGTCGCCAATTTCCCTTACTTATGTATACAGCAATATATCTTTTCACCTGCATATGGGCTTTATGTCCCTCAGTTGATTCTATACGCGAGATCATGCTTTACAAAGGAACAATTTTTATAAACAAGACAAGCCATTGACAAAGAAGTTGATGAAACAAGGATATCGACAGTTTCGCTTTAAGTCATAATTTTGCAAGTTTTATGGTTGAAACGTGTACCTTATCAGCAAATACATGTACATCCTACATGTAACATTGAATCAAATGCTGATCAACGTTTTTCACACTTGTTGTTAGACCATTAATTACATGTATTTAAATACTGAATAATTGTCGACGGATTTTACAGGGTTTTTTTTATGACAAGAAGCTTACGGCGGGTGTGAATGGTTGACAGGGGATGCTCACTTCTCCATGGCACGTGATCCCACCTCTGATGTTTTTGGAGGTCCGTGTTTGCTTTTCTCTTGATTTTAGTTTTGATATGGACTTTTGAATTTGAATACTGTTCGTTACCTAATTCAATCTCAAGATTACCTAGAAACGAAATTCAATGTTTTGCAATTGAATATCGAATTTATTTCACCCGTGAGACAGGGTTGCTTTTTTAATGTCACTTTTGCTTCGAACTCTTCAGTTAAATTTAGAGAAAAATCCTGTCCCAGTTGCGAAATAAATTCCATGTCCAACGACTGTGTACAAAATATTAAATATCCTCTATTGTGCAACGAAGCAGTTGGTAGAATTGCTTTTCCAACATTTAATCGAAATTTATCTACTTTTTTTCAGTTAGTCTGCAGAAGTATTCATGTGCCTTTTGGAGAAATAAGTTTTGGTACATTTGCTACATGTCGAAGCTATTGTTTTTCATCGTTTATTTTCATTGAGTTGTCCTGTAACCATTAACTTGTATGACCAAGAAAACGACTACAAATTTAGAAATCCGACCTTTTGCTATTTTTCAGGTACACACAAGAATGGCTTGGGGGCATGATTTCTGCAGGAATTGTCAAACTTCACGAGGACGACAAATACTCACTCCCATATGAAAAACCTCTGCTGAAAAGATGGGGTCATGCCGCCAGTGTGCTCCTGGTATTTAATGAGATGTTCCCTCAACTGGAGAAAGTCATGGCAGAAGATGGACCAAAGGGTTTGTTAGTTCTTAATAGTCAATAAAATTTAGGCTCTATCTGCTAACAAGGTCATTTTTAACGACCACTGAATTTACGAAATGCAGACTTTAAACGAGGTGGTTGAAATTTGTGTAATATCAATTTAATTGTCAGTAGCCTGCTTCAAATATTACTTAAGCTTTTGTTCTGCAGAGGCAAGATACAATCACGGGTCTTCCAAGGCTGAATATCCAGGTTACGATAAGCTTTTAATCAGATCAGTACATAGGTCTTCTGCATAAATTACTAGTAGCCATAAGTCTATGTATGAAACATATGGAGATAACGAAGAGTATTCAAGATCAAAAGTCAAAAGTCTGTAAAACAATATAAAATATAAGCAGAGCAAAAACGGATCTCCAAAACATTAGAGGTGGGATCAGATTCCATGGATGAGTAAGCATCCCCTTACGACCGTTCACACTTGCTGTGTGCTTCTAGTCATGATTTGTATTGATCTGGCATTTTATACGCTTATAAGGTCTAAATATGAGTCAAGCGTCGCTTTGTCTTTAAGATAGAATCAATATCAATCATTAACTAACAATCAATCAATCATAAACCATAACATTTTTACACATTAAAACATGTATATCATGTAATTTGATTTTTATAAATATAATTTATAAATTGCAAGGGAAAATATTTATAAGTTGTAATTTACTCTATTTCAGGATACGGATACTATGATTCATTTCTCAGGTGGATGGATACATACCGCACAACAGAAATCTTTCAAGAATGGAATAAAATTCATCTCATTCCAATATTAGAATTTAAACAAGGTTCATTATATATATATAAATCAATGTAAATATTTATAAAATTGATAAATTTATTTTATAATGATATAAATAATCTAAAAGATTTAAATGTTTTCCATTAACACAGGGACTGAGTTTACACTGCTAGATATTGGTTGTGGATGTGGCCAACATATTAGAGAGGCAGCCAAACTGTACCCTAACTGTATGTTTTACGGTATCGACTCAGATACACCTTCCATAGATCGAGCAATCAAAGAACAGGGCGACCAGAAAAATATCATCTATCATCATATGAGAGGGGAACAACTCTCACAGGAATGGAAAGAAAAATTTGATTTTGTCTTAATGAACGAAGTTCTTCATGTTGCGTCTGACGTCGATGGAATTCTGAAAGAGGCAAAGCGGGTCCTCAAACCAGATGGTTACGGAATAACGTATGATCCCCCTGTTTCTTCAGACCCCCAAAAGCAAGCTAACAATTCCACGGCACAGTTATTTTTTCCCTTTGGTCTCTTTACTTGTCTTCCTGCTTGTTTATCTGACCCCTCGGGTGAAGGACGCGGAGTCGGGTGGGGCTATGAGCATAAGAAACAGAAAATAGAAGAGTATGGATTTCGAGTGATAAAGATTGGCCAAAAGGATACTGAGGCAGTGCAAGCTGGAATTATTTTTCAAAAGTGATATTTCCATTTTTAAAATAAGAGTATTCATTGTAATTTCAAGTTGGGCTTATAATTATCAAGCTTTGTCGGTTGATACCGCAGGCCTTTGGATCGCTTAAAAAATTGTGTGTAAAAATGTTTTTTTAACACGAATTTTTTTTCTAAGCAATCTAAAGGCCTGTGGTTGATACCCTTTATAATATGTTAAACATGTGAAACTTAAAGAAAATTCAACGGAATTGATTCATTTTCAAGGTTTCTGATTAATGCCTCTCAATCATACTTATTCGGCCATTATTTCTGTAAACGATAAATAACTAGTTTGGGTGTACTGTAATAAGGAAAAGCAAAGCATGGATCAAGTTATAGATGATGTAACTTTATTCACGTCCTGGAATAGATAACACAACAAATAGTCACCAGGCACAATAAAATAAAACAGTTTGAGTTGCTCTTTGCAGATTTTATTTGATAAAATGAAATATGTCAGGAAGGACAGCAGGAAACTATTTTACTAGAGGAACCATTAACGAGACTGGGGTGTGGCAGCCATTTTCAGACTATTTTTATCTCCTTTAAAAGAAGAGCTCCTTATAAAGATATACAAAAATGATTAAATTTTAAACCTAATATGTATGAATTTTTCTTTGCCAAATGATAGTTAACAGCTTAAGATACCATAGCTATAAAAATAAGTTAAATCTGGTGGTTAATTTACGGTTAATTTGTTTTGACCCCCCATCCTCCTTAAATTGCTATCTCACTCATACATGTACCCATTCCATGAGTATATACTATACTTATCCGTTGATAACTATATTTAACTATGTTTTTATCAAGATCTTGTAATTTCTTACAACGGATTATAATTTTGATATACATTGGACACCTAAATGTTTTAATACACATTTCCTGGCCTGTGTTGAGATTTGTTGTGATGGTCTGGGTTGTCCTGTGTTGATATGGTGATTTTCAATGGTCTTTGTATCATGTAAACCTGGGTATCCCAAATAAAGGGAAAAGGTAAAATCTGATACAAAACATCAAATATGGTAGGTCATTAATTTCCCAGTAAACGTCTCATTATGCTAATGAAAAGGGTTTCCAGGTATACACGACGGGGATAGATTATTTCAGCATGAATGTAACTGATAAGAATGACAGAAATATAACAACCATTTTGCTTTCTGTCTAGACACACTGCAAGGCCTAGTTAATAAACCTTGAAACACTAGAAGCCCTAGTTATTTTGTAACCTCTTTAAATCTTTTTCAGTAAAATACGACAAGCTGAATTCTGGCAGTGGAAAACAATTACAAAAAAATTTTAGTAATCAGACACTGCAAAATGGTTAAAACTGCAAAGAACACATGATCTTATTCTATATGGATAGATACTTTTATAAACATATTTTAAATTAAAATTCACAGTCACAGACACCTTTTCACCAAAGATTTCAGGACTCGAATAGCATACCATACAGCAGTGCTCCTATTAGACAATTTGCAAGTAACGTCTGTTGTATTTTACCAAAATGGCCTCTGGTTCTACTCGGAATCTAGAGCAGATTGTGAGAGACGGATTGAGCACGCTCGTGTTTGCTTTTGGTTACAAGGTTGGGATAATTGACGCCTTCATTGAAATCAAACAGCCATGTACAGCCGAGGAACTCAGTCAAAAATCAGGCCAAAAGTTAAGGTAAATCACTTTATTTTATTATCATATCTCTTAAGTTGTTTGCAAAATTTACAACTTGACAACTAGGATTTGCGGATTCAGGGTCTTGTGTTAATTTTTTTATGCTTGGAGCACAACCCTCCCCCTTCAAGTTTCTCATATACATATATCACCCAGGTGAACCCAACGTAAGAAAATAAGATAATTTAATCATTAACAGGTACACTCAAGAATGGCTTGGCAGCATGATCGCTGCAGGAATTGTCAAACTTCACGAAGACGGCAAATACTCCCTTCCATTCGAGGAATCCAAGTTGAATCATTGGGGCATTGTCGCCAAAGCGCTTCCAGTATTAAGTGAGATGTTTCCTAAGCTGGAGGAAGTCTTTTCAAAAGATGGACCAAGGGGTTTGTTAATGTCTAAAAATATAATATTAAAATACTGTATACATGATTATTTTTGCCCTTTCACACTCTCTAACAATTTTGCCTAATTTAAAATTAGCCCAGTCACAGGTCTATTTAAGATATTATACTGTGTTCTTTGAACATGTTGAATTCGCCCGTTTTAAATTCGCCCACCTGTGAGTTAGGCGAAAGCGGTGAAAATTAGATGGGGGCAAAAATTTCCTTTTATATAGTATACACAATGCAGAAATAATGACGTTAAATCTCTAATATTTTTATTCATGTCGTTATTAATAGAAAATAGAAAAAAAAAATAATCTAAATAAGATGAAATAATAATTAATTTTTTAAAAGCTTAGAGAAATTGTATTATTAAACTTTTTGTAATTTTTTATGAGGTACGATAGCCTAGGAATAATAAGGTATACGGTTAATTCAGAGAATAAAACTAAAAAAAGATTTGAAACTGTATATTGCATCTAGTTTTTACGGAAGCCCATTTAGGACCTATCAAAAAATATTTTTGAATTCGTTATAACAGATTTTTAGAATTCGTTATAACGAATTTAATTTGTTATAACAGATTTATTGAATTCATTATAACGAATTCAATTTGTTATAACAGATTTATTGAATTCGTTATAACGAATTTAATTTATTATAACAGATTCATTGAATTCGTTATAACGAATTTAATTTGTTATTACAGATTTATTGAATTCATTATAACGAATTTAATCTGTCATTACAGATTTTTTGAATTCGTTATATCGAATTTAATCTGTTATTACAGATTTGTTGAATTCGTTATATCCAAATTCTTGAATTGGTTATAACGAATTCAACAAATCTGTAATAACAGATTAAATTCGTTATAAGGAATTCAATAAATCTGTAATAACAAATTAAATTCGTTATAACAAATTCTATGAATCTGTAATAACAAATTTAATTCGTTATAACGAATTCTATGAATCTGTTATAACAAATTAAATTCGTTATAACGAATTCAATGAATCTGTTATAACAAATTAAATTCGTTATAACGAATTCAATAAATCTGTTATTACAAATTTAATTCGATATAACGAATTCTAAAAATCTGTTATAACAAATTGAATTCGTTATAACGAATTCAAAAATATTTTTTGATAGGTCCTAAATGGGCTTCCGTAAGTTTTGTATGTTCCAAAGACATAAATTAATTAGAGATATAAACAGGTTTAATTAATTGTCCTCTTTTTATTGAAAGTCAGACACTGCCATTATTCCTTTGTCTAAAATCTTATAGATCCGTATATGGCGCGGATCTAAAAACTCGGAGTCCGTAATTATTTCTGATAACTTCTCCTTCAGGATATGGATATTATGAGCCAGTTCTTGCCTGGCTGGATACACACCGCACACCAACAGCTCTTCGTCACTGGAACCAGGATCTACTGATTCCTGCCATAGGACTTAAACAAGGTTGAAATTGAAAATATTTGAAATAACTGTCTTATACTATTTTTCAATGAATACTTATAATTTTCATCTTCTGTTTAATTTTTCTATTTTACGCAGGGACCAATTTTACACTGCTGGATATTGGTTGTGGTTACGGAAAGCATACAAGAGAAGTGGCCAAACTGTTCCCTAACTGTACGATTTACGGTATCGACTCGGATAAAGTCTCCATTGATCAAGCAATCAAAGAACTCGAAGAAAGTGGTTGGAAGAACATCATCTATAGCCATATGAAAGGGGGACAACTCCCAGAGGATTGGACTGAAAAATTTGATTTCGTTTTAATTAACGATGTACTTCACGATTCACACGACGGTGATGGAATTCTCAAAGAGACGAAGCGAGTCCTTAAACCAGATGGTTATGGAATGGCATATGATCCTCCTGTAAGCTCATATCCAGAAAAGCAAGTCGGGGATTTAACGGCCCAGCTTTACCTTCCTTTTAGTCTCTTTCAGTGTCTTCCGGTCAGTTTATCCGGTCCACTGGGAGAGGGACGTGGTATCGGTTGGGGATACGAACGCAAGAAGCAGGAAATAGAAAAACACGGGTTTCGGGTTATCAAAGTTGGCAAAGAGGATATTGATACAGTGCAAGAAGGCATTGTTTTTATGAAAGAGAATTAATATTCAATCATTTTTAAAGAACAGTTTTTCTGCACTTGTAGAGAACTCTACCAAAATTCATCTCGGATCTTTTATTGTATTTAATTATGATGTTACATGTAATTATGACCTCATAACACCATTTATCATGTATACTTTTTAATTGATTATAAAATCTTCCCGTTACATTTTGTGAATTGACTAACAAGTAAACTAACAAATCTTTTATTATAACAATGTTTGCATTTACTAATACTATTTTTCTGTGAATACACTACAAAATAAAACTAAATAAACATACCGTTGATATACATTATATGGTACAAATGATGGAGACTTTGTTATGGGAAACTTCTTGTACTTTAAGGATTTCCATTCCTAATAGGACCAAATTTTCAACCCTTAATTGTCCGTCAGAAACATAACACTCTAGTATTAAATTAAAGCACTTAGGATTGTCTGCGAGAAAGTTTTAAAAATTTCATAGATTGCATTGAAGTCTATGGGGAAAAGCGTTTTATTATTAAATAAAAATTCAAATAATATGAATATCAATAAAAACTGTGGTGGATAGATGCATTGAATCATTTGAAATAGAATGACAATTGAAATCAATTATTTTACAAGATAAAATTTTTTACCCCCAGCTTGAAAAGCGGGAGGGTATATAGTAATCGGTATGTCCGTCCGTCTGTCTGTTCCGCTTTGGGGTACCCATCTCTTATCCGCAACTTCTCTTATACCACTGACTGAAATTTAATGAAATTTAAGAATCTTTATTACATATTGCCATTGTGCACCTCCTATTTTACTTTTTGATCCGACGAACATTTTGGGTTTCCCATCCACAGCAAATCCTGGACTTTGCCATTATAACCATATGGGAAGCGGGGGTATTATTTAGTGAGCTCATTGCTCACAATACCTCTAGTTTGAATTATTTTTTTATTAATTAAAAATAAAGGAAGATTAATCTTACCAAAATTCAAGGTAATAAATTAGGACACATCCTACACTAATACATGTTCAAGATAGCATAAAGCTCATTTAAAATAGAAAGAAATCCTGTCCCACTTGTGAAATAATTTCCATGTCCAACTACTGTGTTTAAAATATTGAATATACTCTATTCATTGTGCGTACCGATCACGGTAGCCTAGTGGTAGAGCGTTCGCTTCGTGATCGGGAGGCCCGAGTTCGATTCTCGTTCGCAGCGCCGCGTCATACCTAAGACGTAAACATAGGTAGTGACGGTTCCTTCGCCAAGCGCTCGGCACTAGAAGTGAAAGTCACGGGTCTTTCGGATATGACCTTAAAAACGTAGGTCCCGCGTGTCACGGTAGGCGTTGGCACGATAAAGAACCCTCACTGCTCAATGGCCTTGAGTGCCGAGTATAGGTCTAAATTTGAAGCCCTTCACCGGCATACGGTGACGTCTCCATATGAGTGAAAAATTCTCGAGAGGGACGTTAAACAATAAACAATCAATCAATCATGATCAATCAATCTATTTATTGTGCAACAAAGCAGTTTTTAACGAGGTCGTTGTAATTTGTGTTACATCGTTTTACATGCCGGTAGCTATGGCCTGCTTCAAATGTTACTTAATCGTTTACTAGTATTCTGCAATCACGAGTCTTCGAAAATTGAATATCAAGGTTACAAAAAGCTATTCATCAGATCAATACGTAGGTCTTCTGCATAAATTAGCCATAAGTTTATACATATGTGTGGCATTTAATTAGCTATTAAGGTCCCTGGGTCAAGCATCGCTTTGTCTTAAAACCGGAATCTATATACATGTAACATGTATAATAATCAATTCAAAACCGTAAGTTTTATTTTGGAAAAAGTATATTATGTAACTTTGTTTTTCATATATATACGAGGGTCATTCAAAAAGTTTGTAGACTTTTGTCCTAACTTTTTCTTTTATTTAACGTCATATTATATCCAAATTTGGTACAAATATTTAAACAACAGATTCAAATAATTTGAGTAAAAAAATTGGAATGTATCTTCATATTTATTGAAATTACCAAGGATTTCGAACAGCAAAAATGGGGTCACAGAGCACCGTCATAAATGAGTTATTTACTAATTTTCCCTTTATAGTATTTACAGCCATACCTCTAATAAATGGAGCTGAAACGAAATAAAATTTACATGTTTTAATAAAGTATTGCTGTATTAATTAAAATGAAATCGGGTTATGTAATATGTCGCTCCATTTAAAAGATATCAGTTTCTAAATACATATGGACTTGATTAAAAAAGCAAAAAAACATGACGTTGGAGGACGTCACGGAGCAGCAAGTAGGAAAAAATTATACTTTACATTCGGGAAACTTCTTCTACAAGGTTAAAAAATCCGTATAAACCAGGATCTGTATGAAAAATATCTGTGTATTTGTATTAAATGGAAAATACAATTTTTGAGTGGTAGCGAGTTTGAATCGGGCGATGGATTGTCTGCAAAGAAACAGGTTAAAGTTAAAAATATTGTCGAAAGAGTTAGGTACGTCATTGAACGTGATGTGTGCTTTACTGTTGCAGAATTAATAGAGGTACATGGTAAATTAAAGAATTTGAAAACAATGACATTCTCATTCAAGCTATATTTGTACAATTGTTCGCAAACTAGATGTAAAGTGTTATGGATATGTTTTTTTGAATTAAGAAGGCGCTACAAACCGTGTTTTAAATTAAGAAAATTAGTATAATTTTGACAAACTTTCTCAACGTTGTCTTTGGCGTTACAATGTTGGTTAACCGTGCTCCGTGGTTACAAAACATGTTAGTTTAAATTTTGGCTAACAGGAGTTCTTTTTAATCAAATGGAATAAAACTTCACACTTCGACAAAATAAATGTTTATATTTACGAACATGTGTTGATCTATAATCTTGTAATAATTATATGACGATGAGAAGCATTGTCTACGTATTTTTTGAATGACCCTCGTACTTATATATTTTATGAATTGCAAGGGAAAACATAAGTTATGATTTCCTCTATATTAGGTTACGGGTACTTTGACTCATTTCTCAGATGGATTGATACATACCGCACAACAGAATTTTTTCAAGAATGGAATAAAATTCATCTCATTCCAATATTAGAATTTAAAAAAGGTTTAAAATTTAATCATTTCATATATATTCAAGTTAATGTTTGTTTTCATGAAATTAAAAAGAATATTCAAAGAGATTCAAATGTTTACCATTAACACAGATACCGAGTTTACACTACTAGACATTGGTTGTGGTCAGAATATTAGAGAGGCAGCTAAACTGTACCCTGTCTGTACTTTTTATGGTATCGACTCGGATAAACCTTCCATAGATCGAGCAATATCAAAGAACAGGGTGACCAGAAAAACGTCATCTATCATCATATGAGAGGGAACAACTCCCACAGGAATGGAACGAAAAATTTGATTTTGTCTTAATGAACGAAGTTCTTCACGTTGCGTCTGACGTCGACGGAATTTTGAAGGAGGCAAAGCGGGTCCTCAAACCAAATGGTTACGAAATAACGTATGATCCCCCTGTTTCTTCAGACCCCCAAAAGCAAGCTAACAATCCGACGGCGCAGTTATTTTTTCCTTTTGGCCTGTTCACTTGTCTCCCCGCTTGTTTATTTGACCCATCGGGCGAAGGGGGCGGGGTCGGTTGGGGCTATGAACGCAAGAAACAGAAAATAGAAGAGCATGGATTTCGAGTGATCAAAATTGGCGAAAAAGATACTGAGGCAGTGCAAGCTGGCATTATCTTTCAAAAGTGATGTTTCAAAAATTTCTGTCTTACTTTTGAAATACAGACCACTTAAAATTGTATTTTTTTACTATGATCCTCAAACCTCATCAACTGCATTCGTGGATTCAAGGTACATCAGCTAAAACATGTTATAGTCATTTAATTTCTGAATTTCAATGTTTTATATTTTACGCCTTTCTAATAATATATCTTGAATAATAAAAGGCCTATGATCATGCGATGTTGCCAGTTTTGTGTTCTCCTTGTCTGTCTTCTTCTTTTTTTTTAATTCTAAATCACAAAATTTCATACAATTTTAACTTCAACATATTTACATTTGCAATATTTAACTTTTATATTTTGAATACTCTGAATATTTAGGGTTGCTTATCAACGATATTGACGTAGCTTCTGAATTTATTCGAAGTTTACTGGCAAAATTTGTAGCATAGAAACTAATATATACCTTTGATTATTAGGTCTTATATATACATGTATATGTGGAAAGGGTCATCGGAAAGTGTTTTTGGAAATGTAGATCACAATGACTTGTTTTTAAAAATAAAATATTAAGATACTGATTTTTGTTGAGTTACGAAGGTATCCGCCATCAATTCTTAAAAGTTACTTTATCCAGAGACCCGATACTTTGTCAACTAAAATGTAGCTAATGCTGACCTACTTTTTCTATCATTTTTTTTAAAATATTCATTGTCATTCCAAGATGATACTTTAACACAACTGGGCATAGAATTATCAATCTTTTTAGGTTAACCTTTTCTAGTGTGTCAAACTGAATGAGAATTTCAACGGAATTTTTTGTTCATTTTCATTTTTTTAATTAGCTAAGGTTACTAAGTAAAACAAGCTATAGTTATCCGTTGCAAACTATAGTTAAATGCTGTATGACCTATGTTTTTCTATTACAGTGAAACTTTTCCAAGTCGGCCCCCCTGGAAACCGGTTCTCCCTGAACATCGGCCAAATGTATAAGTCCCGGCAAAATTCCGAACATTTCTTTACACATAAACTCTCATAAAACCGGCCAACCCTGAAAACCGGACACCGGCCACTTTTCCAAGAACAAAAATTAAGAAATATAGGAAATTTCCCCTCATCATACCGGTCACTTTTTGATTGCAAGAAAGATAACTGTCATTGGCCAGAGGGGTAATAATGACCGGCCAGAGGTGTGAAAAATAATCCTACCCACCAGAAGTCAGAGGTGTGAAAAAACTGAAATGGCCTCATAGGGTTTTCTATTGTTTAACTGTCTTGAAGGGGTAGTCAGCTTTCCAGGCTACGTAAATGGCCGGTCTTAGTTGTGTAAATATGATTAAGCATCAATTAAACTTGAATTAATAAAATATCAAGCAACTAGTGAATTTAAATCACAGAATAAATCAACAAATTAGCGCACGCCATATTGCATCATCTTTTTAAATACACATAAGCGGCCATAGAATTGGACACTGTTAAAAAATGCTAAGAAAAAAATCCAATAAAACGTTTATCAAAATATACATTTCATAATTAAAATAACAGAAGTTTTGCTCAGAAAAGTTTTAATCATTCACTTTTCACTGAAGTACAAATATTTTTTTAATGACGTAAGCGATAGACAGATACATGCAATATACTGTATAGAGTCTATTAAAGGTAAAAGATCTGGTTTATTTCCTTGCATATGGTTAATAGATTAAAAGTAACTTTCAATGTTTTGTTTCTTACTTCTTTTTATAAAAATCCACACGTATGTCGAATTTATCCTCACTAATAATGATTTACAATTTTTTTTTTTTTAGACCTTTAGAATACAATACGTTTCTGCCGATGATTAATAACATGTTGACAGATAACAGACACCAATTATATATTTTTCCTAGCATCTGTCACATAGTTCTGCAATTCTTCAGTATGTTAGATTCTCGGGAAACCGGCCACCCCTCTAGTCCGGCCATTTTATTCAGTCCGGCAGCTGGCCGGTTTAGAGAAGTTTTACTGTATAATAGTAATGTCTGAAAACGGATTTTTGTATACCTCGAAGCTCATTGGCGGATTTAAAGGGCCCCCTTTTGTGTTTAAAATATACGTAAGATTTAATGATTTATTTTTGGTTTGACTATGGGTCCCTACCCCTACCCAAAACTGGTTGCCCCCTCAAAATTCCTGGATCCGCCACTGTACCTGGCCTGTGTTGAGGTGTCTAATGCTATTGGAATTCTCCTGTGTTGATATTACGATTTTGGATGGTTTTTACCGTATCAGACCGTACGTACATATTAACCAGACTATCCCGAATAAAGGGGAAAAGGGAAAGTTTGATACAAAAGTTTGATGGAAAACATCAAAGATGGACCTGTGATCATTAATTTCTAAGTTTTGGTAAACGTTTTCCCAGTTTTAGCAAATGTCTCATTACACTCATGAAAAGGGTTTCCAGGTATACATGGGAGATCATTTCCACACGAATAACATGTAACCATGTTAATTTCAATGAGGTTTAAACAAATATCATTGACAAGAATGACAGAAATAAAACAACCACGCGAGGAGTTAAACTTTGCTTATCAGTGTGAAATTTCTGTCTACACACCACAAGCCCTTGTCATTATAAACCTTAAAACACTGGAAGTCCTTGGGTTTTTTTACCTCATTAAATCTTATCAGTAAAAAGTATGATAAAACGTACGACAAGCTGAATTTGGGTAGTGAAAAAAAATTAAGTGATCAGACACTGCAAAATTTATACCGGTAAAACTGCAAAGACCTCATGATCTATTTGATTATGGATAAATACTTTTATCAACATATTTTTTATATATAATTTAAATTCACTGACACGTTTTCACCAAAAAATTCAGGAGCAGAGTACCTATTACATTATTTGCAGTAACATCTGTTGTGTTTTACCAAAATGGCCTCTGGTTCTACTCGGGATCTAGAGCAGATTGTGAGAGACGGATTGAGCACGCTCGTGTTCGCTTTTGGTTACAAGGTTGGGATAATTAATGCCTTCATTGAAATCAAACAGCCATGTACTGCAGAGGAACTCAGTCAAAAATCAGGACAAAAGTTAAGGTAAATCACTTTACTTTATTATATCTCTTCTGTTGTTTTCAAAATTTACAACTTGAGAACTCGGATTTGCGGATTCAGGGTCTTGTGTTAATTATATTTTTTTATGTCTGGAGCACAAACCTCCCCCTTCAAGCTTCTCATGTACAAACGTCACCCAGGTTATTCCAACGTAAGAAAATAAGATAATTTACTCATTAACAGGTACACTCAAGAATGGCTTGGCAGCATGATCGCTGCAGGAATTGTCAAACTTCACGAAGACGGCAAATACTCCCTTCCGTTCGAGGAATCCAAGTTGAATTATTGGGGTGTTATCTCCAAAGCACTTCCAATATTAAGTGAGATGTTTCCTAAGCTCCAGGAAGTCTTTTCAAAAGATGGACCAAGGGGTTTGTTAATGTCTAAAATAAAATATTAGAAGACTGTATACATGATTATTTTCAAAAATTTCCTTGTATGTAGTATACACAATGCAGAAATAATGACGTTACATCTCTGATATTTTTATTCGTGTTGTTATTAATACAGTAGTAAATAATTTAATTCTGGTTGTAACGCTGTATTTGATTGGATAAAAAATTTACTTTATATTGTATAAAATGCAGAAATTAACGTAAAATCTCACATGTGTTATCTTTACGTAAAAAACGTATCAATCCGCCTGACGTTACATTCAAATTTTTACAAATTAAAGTATTTTGTTAGGCAATCATCTTTTTTCTTACATCAAATTAAAAAAAATTAAATTATAAGCGATGAATTTAATAGCTACCCATTTTATACGGTATAAACTGGGTTGGAACAGTTTACGCTTTTTTATAAACTGCTTCGCGGATCTAAAAACTCAGAGTCCGTAATTATTTCTGATAACTTCTCCTTCAGGATATGGATATTATGAGCCGATTCTTGCGTGGCTGGATACACACCGCACACCAACAGCTCTTCGTCACTGGAACCAGGATCTACTGATTCCTGCCATAGAACTTAAACAAGGTTGAAATTGACAATATTCGAAATAACTGTATTATAACTATTTTTCAATGAATACTTATAATTTTCATCTTATGTTTAATTTTTCTCTTTTACACAGGGACCAATTTTACACTGCTAGATATTGGTTGTGGTTACGGAAAGCATACAAGAGAAGTGGCCAAACTGTTCCCTAACTGTACGATTTACGGTATCGACTCGGATAAAGTCTCCATTGATCAAGCCATTAAAGAACTTCAAGAAAGTGGTCGGAAGAACATCATCTATAGCCATATGAAAGGGGGACAACTCCCAGAGGATTGGACTGAAAAATTTGATTTCGTTTTAATAAACGATGTACTTCATGATTCACACGACGGTGATGGAATTCTCAAAGAAACGAAGCGAGTCCTTAAACCAGATGGTTATGGAATGGCATACGATCCTCCTGTAAGCTCATATCCAGAAAAGCAAGTCGGGGATGTAACGGCCCAGTTTTACCTTCCTTTTAGTCTCTTTCAATGTCTTCCGGTCAGTTTATCCGGTTCACCTGGAGAAGGACGTGGTATCGGTTGGGGATACGAACGCAAGAAGCAGGAAATAGAACAACACGGGTTTCGGGTTATCCAAGTTGGCAAAGAGGATATCGATACAGTGCAAGAAGGCATTGTTTTTATGAAAGAGAATTAAACTTAAATGGTTGTTAAAGAACAGTTTTTTCTGCACTTGTAGTGAACCCTACCAAAATTCATCTCGGGTCTTTTATTGTATTTAATCATGTTTATTACGAAAGCCCAGAAGGCTCATTTGAGATTCAAGTTTCGAAATACGAAATTCGAAGTTCGAGATTCGAAATTCGAGTTTCGAAATTCAAAATCCAAACTAACCAATCAAAAGCGGGTTCAACATTTGATTACTCCCCTTTATTATGTTATTACTATCAAGAAATCTTTGAATATATTTATATAACAAATGGGTCATTTGCTAAAATGATAATGCAAGAAAAATGTTTTATGTATCAAAACGAAATGAAAACAAAATTTGGATTACATTTTGAAAAATATATAAATAATCTTATTTTTTTCTAATGAAACAAAACAAACAGTAGATAGGTATAATATAGAATATTATATGGTCTTATTGTTGACTTGCGGAATAAAAGTAGATCGACTAATTTTGTATTAGATCAATGATGAGGGAAAAAATAATTATTGATTAGATATTAAATATCAAGAATCGTCTCTACACTGCACAGTTATTCAAGGATATAAAGGGTACATTTGTGCAGTTAGACTTGACTGCTGAATTGAAATGTAGTGTTATAAGGTTTTACAAGTATACTTTAATCTTTGACCATACTGTTAAAGCTATGGTCAGATATTAGAATATAAAACCATAACGCTATTGTTCTCCAGCTCATCTACTATTTGATATCAGATAAAATAAATGCTGCATCTATTGTATTTCATATTGCCAATCTGTATTGTATATATAATTTTTAATTAACTCAAGAAATAAAAGCCTTAGACCAAGATAAGTAATTGAAAACTTAATTTTTATGTATTTAATTTCCTCTATACGGAAAACGAACAGCAGTCTCGGCCCAAATCCTTAAATGACGCAGTTCGGCTGGCCGTGGAGATTGAAGCTTTTTGTAGAGCTGAGCGCCAGAGAAGACACGATGTTAGTTTTGCCAGAACAGCACAGAGTGAATTAGAGGGGCAATCGGAAACTGATGCAAAGGTACGGAAAGATTTGAAACAATTACGAGATGAACTTCGGTCGTCACTGCGAGACCTCGAGAACAAAATAGCCACTTTGTCAGAACGCAAAGAGACCAGTAGACAACTAAAATCTGATGAATCAAGTTCGATACCAAGTTCCGATCAAACCAAGTTCCCTTTTAAGTGCCATAACTGTGGTAGGCGAGGCCACAGGGCTAAAGACTGTTATGTTAAAAGGAGATCGGAGATAAGTGGTAAAGCAAGCAATGCATACACGGCATCCCCAAAGGAGGCGGTGGAACAAAAAGAGGTAACCGAGGCTAAGCCAAAGAATAGGAAGTCTAATACGAGTTCAGTCACTCAAACACGAGTTGATGATCAGTCTGGGTTATTTATAAAGGCTAGTGTTAATAAGGTGCCTTGTACATTGTTAGTGGATACCGGGGCTACACTGACAATTTTGTCAAATAAAGTATTTGAAAACATGCTTAGCACGGAAAATGTCGAACTAATGCCAGTAACACAGAAAATAATTCTAGCCGATGGAACTCCATTGCAAGTGCAGGGTACATGTAAGTGTACATCCAACTTTATGATGGGAAGTCACGAATTCATTTTTGAAGTAGTTGTCGCTGACATCAGTACCGACGGCATCTTAGGTTTAGATTTCCTGAAACAAAATAAATGTTTGGTGGATGTTTCTTTAGGGAAAATGTATGTTGGAGGAATTGAGCATGAGCTCCAACTTGAGGGTCACTTAGGATGTTTCAGAGTCAGCCTGAAGGAGACAATAACCATTCCACCAAAGAGTGAAATGATATGCCCGGGTCAGTTACTTGCACCTAGCGATATAAATGACAAGGGATTATTAGTAATGGAGGCTTACGAAAAGTTTCAGAAAAGAGGTAAAGCTTTGGTTGCGAGATCTTTGATTGACCCCAGAGATGATGTCATGGTAAGATTGATGAACTTATCTGGGAGTCCTCAGATTGTATACAAAAACACGGTCGTAGGAACCACATCGGCTGTTGCAAATGTTGTGGAGAGTCAAGATAAATTAAACGTCACTGGACGCGAAGACAGGTGTATTCCAGACCACCTGAAGGAGTTGTACGCCGAGCCATCAAAGATTTGAATCCTGATGAAGCAGAGAAAACAAAGAAAATACTCCTTCGTTTTCAACATTTATTTTCCAAATCAAAAGATGACTTCGGGAGAACTTCTGTCATCAAACATAGAATAAATACGAAAAATGCTAAGCCTACTAAACAACCCCCACGTAGGTTACCTCATCACGCAGCTGATTTTGTCGACCAAGAGGTAGAGAATATGATTGAAAAAGGAATCGTAGAACCCTCCTCTAGTCCATGGGCTGCAGGCGTGGTACTAGTAGAGAAAAAGGACGGCACCAAAAGATTTTGTGTGGACTACAGATCCTTAAATAGTAAAACTGTTAAGGATGCATATCCTTTACCCAGGATCGACGATTCATTAGACGGTTTACAAGGGGCAACGTTATTTTGTACATTGGATCTGCATTCCGGCTACTGGCAAGTTGAGATGGAGGAAAGCGATAAGCCAAAGACTGCCTTCGTAACAAGAAACGGGCTATACCAATTCACAGTAATGCCGTTTGGACTCTGTAACAGTCCAGCGACATTTGAAAGGCTTATGGAGACGGTGTTAGCTGGTTTAAACTACAAGATTTGCTTAGTTTATATTGATGACATTATTGTATTTGGTCGAAATTTTGAAGAGATCCTACAGAATTTAGAACGAGTGTTTCAAAAACTTGAAGAGGCCGGTCTAAAACTAAAAGCAAAGAAATGTTCTTTATTTAAGAAAGAGGTGTTGTTTCTGGGATATAAAGTATCCGGAGAAGGTATTCAGACTGATCCACAGAAGATCTCAGCCATTGACAAATGGCCTGTACCCTTGAATGTCACCGAGGTTAGGTCATTTGTAGGGTTATGTGGCTATTACCGTAGATTTATCAGTGGTTTCTTTTCTATAGCCAATCCCTTGTTCAAACTTACGGAAAAGGGGAAAGAATTTAAATGGACTGCTGAGTGCCAAACAGCATTCGAAAAACTTAAATTTCATTTGGTCAATGCACCAATACTCGCTCACCCAGACTTCGCTTTGCCATTCATCTTAGATACTGACGCCAGTCAGACGGGCCTTGGTGCAGTCTTGTTGCAAGAAATGCAAGGACAAATAAAAGTAATAGCTTACGCTAGTAGGACATTGTCCAAGTCAGAACGACGTTACTGCGTGCCTCGAAAAGAACTCTTGGCAGTGGTTTTTGCTTGTAAACATTACTGGCATTACCTCTATGGGCACAAAGTTATTATCAGAACAGATCACAGTGCTCTTAAGTGGTTGTTCAATTTTAAAGATCCACAGGGCCAGGTAGCGAGATGGATAGAGTTTCTCGGTACCTATGACCTCGATATAAGGCACAGACCTGGTGCAAAGCATGGTAATGCTGATAGTCTAAGTCGACACCCATGTCACCAATGTGGGTATTCTGAGGTCATAGAGGAACACCTTTCAACTGCCAATGCTGAACCTCAAATTTCAGAAACAGATTGTAAAGTGGACGCTGTATCTACTATGCCCGTTCTTCTACAAAGTCTTCAAGATGAGGATATGGATCTATCCGAGATAAAATGTTGGGTAGAAAATAAAAAGCGTCCTGAGTCTTCAGAAATCAAGCATGAAAGCAAAGTAGTTAAATCAGTATGCTCTCAGTGGAATCATTTAGAAATTAAAGATGGACTTTTGTGTAGAAAATGGATAGGCGATAAAAAGACATATCACCAGGTGATTGTCCCCTTGTCTGAGAGGAAAAATAATTTGCAGCAATGCCATGATGCCAGAACCTCTGGACATCTTGGAGTCAACAAGACTCTTGAAAGAGTCAGAGAACGCTTCTATTGGACTGGACTTCAGCACGACGTAAGAAGCTATGTATTAGGTTGCACACAGTGCAGAAAAAGGAAGAACCGTGCTGCAGGGAAATCATTTATGCAACTTGATCAGACGGGGCGTCCCATGGAACGCGTGGCGACGGACTTAATGGGGCCTTTACCAGAAACTAATGATGGTCATAAATACATACTAGTAATTTCAGACTACTTTACTAAATGGACGGAAGCATACCCACTCAAAAATATGGAGGCTCTAACTTTAGCAGAAAGGATTGTTGAACAATTCATTACCAGGCTTGGTGTGCCAGAAGTGATACATAGTGATCAAGGTAGACAGTATGAAAGTCGTTTGTTTAAAGAACTTTGTAACCTTCTTGGTATTCACAAGACTCGAACTACGGCCTTCCACCCGAAGTCGGATGGAATGGTCGAACGCTTTAACAAGACTTTGGCCACTATGTTAACTGCATACGTTTCAGACCATCAACATGATTGGGACAAACATTTACCATATGTGTTGATGGCCTACCGGTCTGCAGTACATGAGAGCACGGGGTACACCCCTAACATGCTTATGCTAGGGAGGGAAGTTTCGACCCCTTTAGATATTATGTATGAACTGCCTTTGGATCGTGAAAGAACTAATGTGCATGAATATGCATGGAATTTACGAGATACCATGGAAGAGGCTCATCGAAATACACGACTGTTCACAAATCAGTCAATGTTGAGACAGAAAAGATACCATGACAGGAATGCCACCGAAAAACAGTTCGAAATTGGTGACAAGGTTTTGGTATTTATTCCTCAAAGAAGTATAGGGAAATCGCCTAAACTAATGAACTTTTGGTATGGGCCTTATGTAATTATTGAAAAACATACCAATCTGACTTATAGGGTGCAGAAATTGGGTGAAAAGAAAACCATGGTCATCCACATTGACAGGTTTAGACATTATGGATCTCAGAGACTTAGTTTTGAGACAGATGAAATGGGTGATGATGAACCTGGTCAAACCGAAGAGTTAGTATTAGAAGAGACAGAAAGTGTAAACCCTGGTGCAAATGAAAATGGTTTACGTGCACAAGAATTAGATACTGAACTAAGTGATGGGTTAGGTCTATCAACCAACACAAATCTTAATTAGATGGAACTTGAATACACAACTAGAAGGCAGTGTAGGAGGCCTAAATGGCACTCTGATTATCAGTTTGATTATACTGTATAGTAAATGTACTTTGCTAAGTAAGCAATGTTCTTTTTATTTATTTCAGATCATGCCATTGACCAAAGTTACCCCCCGGAAACCCGGCATTCTATGTTCCATTTGCCTTTGTCGACTCCCTTCACAAGAGGAATGGAAAGAGCATCTTCTAGCATGTGCTACTGATGACATGAATAAACGAAAATTTGAGTGTAACCAGTGTGACAAGGCATTTGCTAAGCATTCCCTTCTAATGAGACACCAGAAGAGGTTACATTCAACTACTGGTTTGCAAGGTGGAGAAAAACATGTACCATCGAACTCAAAATCCGTTGTTGTAGATAACCATGATGATGATTCTGACTGGCAAGAAGACCCAGATCTTATTTATGAGACAGGCCTTGAAGTTGGTAGAACCATCAGGAAGAAAACGTCGCCCAGTCTCCCTGGAGTCAAGCGCAAGGCAGACGAACTTGTAGACAAGGTGCCTGACCAATCTGCAGACAAAGATTCAAGCATGGTGAATGATGGTAAGGATCATGAGGCGCCCATGGTTTTACATCACTGCCCCTGCTGTAAGGATCATGTTACTAGGATGGATGTCAGCACTCAGACGGACACAAGTCGTCACCAGAAGACAGTCAGAGTAGTGAGAAAATACCAAAAGGATGGTGAATGTGTAGAGAGAGTTGAGGAAGACATTTGGAATGACTAATTCTAGTGA